GCCCGCAGCCAGGAGCAGCAGCACGGTGATGCCAGGCAACAGAAGAAGTTCCCAAGAAAGCAGCATCCACCCACCAAAACCCTCCACCAGCCCCTTCCATCAGCTGGAAGAGGTTGACCAACACCCGATACAGGCGCTCGGTGGAGTTCCCCTCGCTGCCGCAGGCCAGGCTGACCCATCTGAGTAAGGGAGGTAGAAAAGCAAGTTTCCTGACCATTTCTGACAGCCACCGGTGATTCTTCATCCCTGCAACACCACGCTCATCGCAGCACAAGCCACGAGGGCTCCGCAGAGCCAGAGAGCTCTACCTGCCTCCAAGCATTCAAATCAGCAGGGAACAGACCATGGAAATGACATCCTGGCCGCTGGCTCTGGCTCTTCATCTGCACCCGCAGATGACACAAATCGCCCAAAGTTAAGACAGCGGCAGAACTGCCGTCTGGGCCCCGACCAGCAGCCTCCCAGGCACCCGCTGCCTCACCGTGAACCCACCAGAAAGGAAAATTTTACCCAACTTCAAGCCTGCGCCTTTTAGTTCAAAGCAAAGGGCTGACAGTGGAAGGCAGGGAAAGGTAATTGGTTTATTAATGGTAGCGGGAACCTTTTGCTTAAAACCCCCTTCCTGCTGCCGTCTGGAGCCTTCCTAACTCTCTGTGGCGGCCGGCACACCTGTGACTCACAGCCCTAACCGTGGGTGACAGTTTAATGATCTGTCTGAACCCCTCACCTCCTCAGACTTGTGCTGAGGCACAGGAAAAACAGAAAAAAAGGGGGAAAAAAAAAAAAAGCTCTCTAGCCCATTTCCACAATGGCGTGGTGGAACGAGTCAGGATGCACCCTGGAGCCTTCTTCTGACAGCAGCAGCAAGAACAACAAAGGCAGAGACGCGGATGAGTCGGGTTCAATCTCGTCCACAGAATTAATTCGTTCCCGGCCACCTCTGCGCAAGAGGCGCACAAAGGGCTTCGCGCTTCGGCCAGCCCTGCGTCCACCCGTGTCACGAGATCTGTGCCACGTGGGGGCTGAGGCGCTGGGGAATGGGTATCGGGCCTTTTTTGCTTCTCTTTTATTAAAATGCTGTTTGTGGCCTCCATCTGGAAACGGTGACACCGACCTGGTCATTTTGCAAGCCGCCGAACAGTTCGAGTAGGAGGAATGCCTTGGTGCTGACCAGAATCGGAGGGTGATGCACCAAGAATGCAGGATGGATCCAGTCCGACATTCTCCGCTGAAATAGCCCCACAAAGTCGTACCAACTAAGTGACAAAGCGAGAGGGCAGGGCCACGGCGCCCATCCACGCAACCCTGGCGCATTTGCTCTTCTCAGGGAAATTCTTTTACGGGACATGGAGGCAGTTTAGTGCTGCTGTCCCGGGCGCTGAAATGTAGCCACGCTGCACCGCTCTGTGTGCTGAAATATGGTGATAATTACATTTCCTCTCACGCCATTCTCTTTAGGTAAGAACAGGATTAGGACTGTATATCCAAAATACACATTCACCTACTGCTTGAGGTTTTAGTCTCTTTTATTCTCCCTCCAAGGATGTTGCAGTGGACAACGCATTCAGGAGATCTGGGCTCAGTATTCTCCTTTCAACAGACGCTTGTGTGAATAAGGGTACATTGTTTAATCTGGGTCTCAGTTGCCAGCTTATAGAAGAAGAAATAAATCATCTTCTCCCTGTCCTGAACTCTTTGGGGTAGGCACTTGTCTCCCACAGGTCACTTTGCCTTAACAGGGACTTCTAGACGCTGCACGCTGATTCAACACGGAGCCCAGCCTTACGTGTTTGACCCTGTGAAGTTAAATCTCCAACACAGCAACGATGAGGCTGGTCTTTGAACGCCCAAATTCACCGGGACGCAGCTGTAACAAAGCAAAGCGCCAACACGCGCGGGGACACGGAGCTGTGAGACTCCCCTGCCCCACAGGAGCACGGAGGTGAGTTTGGGCCAAAAGAGCTCCTTTTTCCTACCACGACGCGATGATCCGGCTGCTGAAGGGAGTTCCCAAGCGCTTGTCATCCCAAAGGACAGTTTCGACAGGGGGCAGTGATTGATCGCCAGGGTTTAGCATTAAAAGAAAGGAAAGCGTGTGGGAATCGCCAGCCGCTGCTAAGAGTTTCCAGGCTGCGGCTGCGGGAGATGGCAGGGAACGGCGTGTTCTCCTCCCTCACGTGGCAGATGCTTCCCCCCTGATGACTGTACCGTTTCCTAGATGCAGCTAAACACATCAGCAGCTCCCTGCATCCCTCCCGCCGCAAAATTTTTTTGGCAAATCCCACGGACAGGTCACATTTTAAAGCCTTCCAGATTCCGGATACCACCACTGTGCTTTTACACGCGTTGCTGCTTTCCCTCCCCTTCTCCAGGCCACGCCGGGCTGAAGACATTTCACCCATTCATTTAGTCTCACAATAAAGGGGTTGGTTTGGTGTCATTTTCTTTAGGGTTTACACCACGGGAGCAAGGCGTGTGAATCAGGAGGTGGTTTGCGAGGGCGTACGTTAGGCTTTGAGTTGCTGTTTACCGCAGTTTGGGATTTAAACCAACTCCCAAATACAGGAAATCCAAACCCAAACCTGGCTCTGAACCGTTCAAATGCCCTTCTATTTATAATGGGCTAAATTAATGTTCTGGTCTTAAATTGGAGAGTGTCTGAAGTCCAGATCCAGGACCCATTTTTGCCAGGAACCTTCTAGTAATGCATTACACCATGGTGTGGATCTAGAGAACTCAAAGAGAATTTGAGAGCGATGGATGTGATAACGAAAGTAGCAATTACTGGAACAGCTGTCGGAGGGAAAGGTTAAACTCATCATCGCTAGACTTCTTTCAAGGAATCCTGAATATCTTTCTAAGTCACATATTCCAGTTCGGCCTCAAGCTCCTGGCCTCAGGAGACTTATTAAGGGCAGAGAATAAATTCCTGGCCCCCCAAACAAACATCCCAGTAAAAATACGCTCTGCCCTGAATCATGAAAGGGTTCTTGGAGGTGGACAAGGCACGAATGGTCCCTGGAGCTCTCGTTGCTCTTACCTTGCCCGAGCCTTGCGCCCGTTATTGCTTCCTTGGCACTCCCGAAGCCCAGCTCTCGGCAAACCACGCTGGCTGACACCAGGTTCCAGTTATCGTCGCAAACCGTTCCCCACTCCCCGTTTTTCAGCACTTCAACTCGTCCTTCGCCAGTGTTGGCTCCCCCTTTCAGCCTCACCAGTGGTTGCTGGAAGACACGGACAGAAGCGGCGTTACCACTGCCTAGGAACAAAGCATCCTTTCTTTACACCTCTTACTTAGGGCATGTGGCTGCAGGCAAGATGTGGCCCAAAAAGCGTTACCCTGAGGCACCTTAAAACCACCACCACATAATACAAAAACCTGAAAGTGCTGGGTGAAAGGAGACCTTGATCTGCTGAGGCTTACGGTATGCGCAGACGTACGTTTCTCACACCCCTGTACATGGGCACAGAACAACAAGAGACACCTTAGTTCTCTGCAGTCTCGGTGCTTGGATTTAGGAGCCTTTTTTCACACAAGCAGGTCTGCAGCAGAAGAGGGCTGCTGCACACACGAGCGGCTGGACACGCAACAACCCTGTTCTCCTCCCGTGTCTCTTGGGAGCCACGTAGGAGGCTTGGGAATCGCACCGAGCCAGCTACCGCACGGCTCCCAGCCCCCTGCTGCCTGTGGTTCAGCCGCCAGATGGATTCATTTGCCGTACCGATAACCAGGCAGGGCTCCTGGGTTATCTGAGGAGACCAACGTGGAACTCCACCACGTAAAACCTATCCGTCCGCTGCGGTTACGACTAGTGGAATCTGCGATCTGGCAGATCGCAGCCAGAAACACACAGCTGAGTGGCAGGTCCAGCTCCATTAATTTCTGTTCTTCTTATATTTCTATTAGTCACCGACTATCCATCGCTCACAGCTTTTCGCAGTCCCAAGCAGGGAGACCTGCCCATTGCTGCTGCACCCGAGAAATGTGCTGTTGCAGTGGGAACTGAATCCTAGGTACGGGAACACCACATGGTTTGTGCAGAGTCTGACACCAAAAAAACTTTTAAAACTGGAAGCATACGCAGTTCTCCAGGCCAGGGTCACACGAAGGACATCCAAAGCCTACACAAAGGCTTAAGGAATTACTTGGCAGCGTGCATGGCTCGGAAGATTAGTAATGATTTACAAGACCTTTCACCTTTGAGGCCTAGATCCTGCAAGCTCTCGTGCAAGGAAGTGCCCGGGCCACAGGCAGGACTGCTCTGTTCCCACAACAGCAGCGTCTGGAGGTGTTGTCCGGGGTCTTCTCTGGTGCCAAGAGAAAGCCCACTCCTTAAGGCACAGGTATAGGGCTGGGGGATGCAGGCTACAGGCAAGATCCACAGCACCTAATACACCTTGCAAAAAAATCCCCCTGACCCAGCACTAAGGGCCTCCAGACCCCGAGATCACCCCTGTATCCTAAGGCCGCACATACCTCACAGCTGGAAAATTTCCCTTCGCATAAACTTAAACCATGTTTGCCGCAAGTTAAGCTGTTCTTTCACATGCAGTCACCCCACTGACACTGAGAACAACTGACTCCAGGGTCGTTTTAAACAGCCTTTTGCATATCTTAGCATTTTTACGCTGTGCTCAGCCCTCTCCTTGCTAGACTAAACAAACAGGGCTTTTTCAACCTTCCTGTAGGCCGTGTTTTCCCAGTCTCTCAGGGCATTTCTCCGCAGAAGGCACAGGGGTAGAGGAAATGCCAGCTTATTTCCCTCGTACCTCTACGGGAGAGGCAACCCAGGAGTGTTCAAGTGACTGTGAAGCAGCAAAGCCCGGCAGCAACTGGGCACGCATTCAGTTGGCTTGAACAGAACAGCTCAAACAGAAACGTGACAAATGTATTTTCTTACTACTTGCTCCCAGCCTTGCCAGCTGCAGCGGCGAGCCAGTCTCCCACCTCTCTGAGCCTGCAGACAGAGGCAAGGTACCGCGTATTTGCCAGGACAGAAACTCAGCCGGGTTCGCGGGGAGAAAGAAATTCAAAGAGGCGACGTTTGCACACCAGGCTGGTTTGCGGCTACGGGCGTACCCGGGTTCAGGCCCTGCGGACCCCCAGGCTTTTCCCACTTGCATTCACTCCCTGCTCACCTCCTGCCTGAAGGCTTTTCGGAAGCCACTGTGGCTGCTGGGGGCAAAGGCGCGTCCGGGGACACAGCTGACTACCGCCGGCATCCCGTTCTCACACGTTGCATTCTTCTCTGCATCCACGTTGAGGTGGTTGCCCAGTTTGCAGCTGGAGATATGAGCCTCGTTCCCAGTGCAGTCCATTGAGTAAGCCCAGTAATGTTGCTTCCTTCTGCTGGCAAACATCCTTAAAGGAATAAAGGGGAACAGGAAAACAAAAGTTAGGAATCCATAAACCCCCTCACTGACGTAGCTACGTTTGGGAAAAAGCGCCTTGAAATAAAATAGGGATCGAAGAGCATTATTTGAAGGTGGATCCATTCATACACACAATGACTCTCTGTGAAGGTGTCACTTGGGAGTAAATAGGTCATCTCCTTAAGCTAAAGATCAGAGTAGGAATCAACAGTGCAGCTAGTGCAACAACTCTGCACTCGAAGGAGAGACACATAATAGAGATCCCTCCATTATGCAGGGGTCAGAGATCAGGTCATTCAAAAGGCAGCGTACAAACAGGGCCTTGTGCAAATAACGCTGCCGAGTTTGGACTGGAGAGGCCCCCAGAAGACCTCTCCCGCAAACGAGCTGTTCTCTTTGCCGGCCATCTCCCGTCAGCTGTGAGAAGATGGCAGACTGGGAAAAAGCCACGGCTCTCTGGCTTCTCTCAAAGCTGCAGTGTTAACAACCGTGAGCCTGAAAGCAATTTCCGAGAGCAAGAGCAATTCCCTTGATGACATGTTCGCAGCAGAGGAGATTGGCAGCAGTTTCTGCTTCTTGCTCCCAAACCGTAGCACTTGCCTGGAGGTGGTCCAGGGACTCCTAAGGGGGAAGGGGCATGTGTGATAAACAAGAAAAGAAAGTAATCCAGCTTCATCCTAACCGCATTGCAAGGCTGTTGGATGACTGTATGGGAGCTAAAATAGTCAATGAAACAAAAACGCAGGTCAGATCATTATCAAAAGGGAGATGTTTGGAGTTAAGTTAGGAAAAAGTCAAGGCTCAGAGGAGCCAACGCCCTGCTGCGATCTTGATGTGGCTTTGCGAGATCCCCGTGCTGCTCCTTATTCCAGGACCAGCTGCCACGTAGCCCCGGTGACCCAAGGATTCGCTGTGATAAATGGAATAGCGAGGTGGGTGAAACTTGCTGGGAGGAAGCGCACCGATTCCGATTAACCGTAGCACGTCCCTGCAGGACAGAGAGCCTGAACGGGACCTGGAAAAGGGACAAAGAGCCTTTCATAGGTGGTCGGTTTGAAACTAAACTGGACAGGTCAAGGTTTTCCCAACCGACGCCCTCTGGTGGTCCCGTGTGGGCTAATTTGCACCATTTCAGATGCTTGAGAGAACTACCTGCTCCCTTTCTGCTTGCTGAGCTTTGCTGACAAGCTCAGCAGTTGTCTGGGCTCCTGTGGCTCACAGCCACTGACTAATCCTTTCTGGAACCAAATTCCTCCGAGTTGAGGTTAGGGCCAAATACAGCCGGACTGGAGACAGAGAAGCAACTGCACCACGTGGTGGGGAGTAAACGCTGTGCTGGAAAGGATGGAGGATGGGGCAGGGGCAGGGCAACCTGCCCGTCTTGTGGGTAAAACACTGGCTGTCAAACTCCAAGTCTGTCAAACCAGAGCTGTCAGGGACCCTGAATCAACAGAAAATGAATGGGAAATAGGAAGGGGGAACACAAATTTTAAAAATATATTAAAAAAAAAAAAGTAAAACCAGGGAGGAGGCAGGCAGAAAGTGCCAGCCACTTCTCAGCGAGAATATCTGGTTCAGTTTGGACCAAACCTTGAAGATTCTTCTTCCTTTTAAGTAAACTACCCAGGATACTCTATGTCTACCAAAAACCCATGAAAACCTCTGCCCTTGGACTGCTGAAGCTCAGCACCGAGGTCCCACTGGAACGTTAACTGCCCTCTCGGGCTGCAGAGCGACGGGGCAGATTCAGGCGTACGTGACACGCTGGAAAGCATCTGGAGGCGCCCGAGTTCGGTGATGCCGCTCCACACTGTCCCCACCACCCTCTTTCAGTCTGCCTGCTCAGCACAGAAGCGAGAACCTGAAGGAGTATTTTCACGGAGGGCCCTCCAGACATGTGTGGAGCGCGCCACGAACTCCAAAGCAGACAAGAAACACGGCCTGTCTTAGAGAAGTAATTACGGGGATGCCTTATAATAGCAAACAATGACCTCATCCTGGAAATTTCATGAGGCATCAACATCTGGTTGGTATTAACAGCCCTTGGTAGGCTGGGGAGAAACAGCCAGAGAAAGCCCCACCTCATTTTCCCAGACTAAATCTGTTAAAAAAAAGTAGAATACAGATGATCTTTACAGATAGAAACTCAGGGCATTCTTGCTATTTACTTTTACACCTACAGAAAGGGTGCAATCCACCTCTCCCTGGCCTTGGTATAAGCCAAGAGCAATGCTGCTCAGACCAGAGGTGTCAGTGAACAGTCATGCTGCGAGAGCGTAGCCAATTCTAGGTCAAGTTGGAGGCCAAACCGTTTCTACTGGTGAGGAGAGATGGACCTTCATCACATGAGCTTTAAAGAAAGATAAGGGTTAAGCCCAAGGGCTGTGGGAAGCGGCTGAGGGTTTAGCTAAAGGAACCTTGCCATGTAAGACCGCATCGGAGAGGACTCGGTGAGCACAAAATAAACCGTTACACGCATTCATGCCAGGAAAATTCACCCAAAACACACTGAACCGAAGCTGGCGAACTCCTCTTCAGGGGTGTGAGCATAAGGTGTTTACCGTTGAGAAATTCTTCAAGCATTTACTGAAGTTAACAAGCTTGCTGTCTTCAGGGAGACAGAAGAGAACCCAGACCTGCCACCTTCTGCCAAAAGCCCCTAAGAACCTGGCTTTGCTAGGGAGAACCCAAACCCTGAGGATTTCTACCACAAGCATCGAAGTGATTAACTGCCCTACGCACGTGACCAGATTTGTAATACCTTGAGCAGACTGGTTAAACTGAGAGAGGCTGTTTGGACTGACATTGAACGAAGTATCCTGGAACTGCTGAGCTACTCCATCCCTTTCTTCGTCAAATCACAAAGCTGTAAGGCCTCGAGAAGGCATCAGCTCCATCTCTCTGCCTTGGGCATCTCCAGTCACAACCTTCTACCCTCCCCGTCAGCAAAATGCATTGAATTCTCCTCTGCTTTCTCAACAGGAGCAGGAATTGGGAGGAGGAGTTAACAAGCGGTGCCTATATAAAGTCACTTTGAAGAATGAACAAGAACATGGAAACAACACTGAGATTTGTTTCGTTTCCTCACATAAATCGTGCTGTCAACGGCAGAGCCCAAGTTACATTCAGGAATAAAACCCTGGCACCAGGACAACAATGAACTAAGTTGTTTTCTTTCAAGCAAGATCCATCTGCAAATCATTTCACCTCCCACCATTGTGCAGAAGCAGAGCAGGGTATCAGCTAGCTCGGCTTCCAAAGCTGTTGTTTGTGGGGAGCGGGACTGGCGGGGATGTGAGAAGGGGGCACTCACAGCCCCGGGGAGCAGAAACCCGATTCCAGCCTGGCTCCCAGCTGCGGAGCAGGAGCGGGAAAGGATCTGCCCTTGGGAGAACAGTATTTACAAACTGGGCAGAGAGCAAAGCCTGAGAAATGAGAAGAACGTTTCTGAGGCTTCACACTCACGTGGAGAGAGGGTTTAGTTCAAGTGACGAGCTGGAGATGAACTCTTCCCTCTCCTAGACAGAACGGGACCAGAAAGCGCGTGGGACAAAGCAGAGAGCAGGGCTGTCACGGCCCAGGCAAGCAGATCACAGCGGTCGCCATTCCGGTACCTCCATCAGGAAGCAAAGATCACTTCTGGAGTTCCCAGCCCAGAACTGGGAGGTTTCCCTCACCAGCAAGGTTACCAGCAACGCTGGTTGCACACGACGCATCTGCCAGTAGCACAAAGCAGAAAGGCAAATACCCCAAGAAAGAAGACAGCTTTGTAAACTGCGCTGACCAAACGGAACTGTCTAGCTGACGAAGTTTTACAAGTCTCTTCCCTCCCACAAAACGACATCCCGTCTTCTTCCCACCCGGGATAATATTCAGCGTATTTTCCAGACTACCCTCCTGTGAGTGCAGGAGCCCAGCGAGCCGTTACCGCTTGCTGAAAACAAGCAGAGGTGAGGGAGGTATTCGGGCACCGAGGCTGCATAAGCAGTCTGGCTGGCTCGGCAGCCGAGATCTCCACGCCTGGTATTTGGAAGTGCTGCATATTCATAACCCCAGCTCCGGTGAATAGGATTTTCAGCGTCGCTGAATATCGCGCCGAACAACTGTGCCTCAGTTTTTCCATCTCTACGTGTACTATTGCAAGAGACAGGACAATTACCAAGCACCCTTTTACTTCAGGCAGATGGCTCCAGCTGCTAAAGTTAATGCTTTTCTTGGAAACACCACAGCTGAGAAGCAGGAAAAGTCTACTTTGTCTTACTAGAGGTAATTTATTCTGCCCTCCTGCTCTGATGCAGGGGCTGGGAAGCTCAGAGCCGAGTTTGAGGGAGACATGCTACACTGATGGGAGCAAATGCTCCTCTAACTCGTGTCCAGGGCAAAACATGAGGCTGCCTGGTAGCAATTATTAATTCACTGCTCATCTCCCTGGGAAGCCTGAAAACAAAATTCCACTTGGGTTATTTATTTTAAATTCTTTGTGCTGCTATGTGGCTTTACGCTATTGCAACCCAAGGACCTCTTCAATTGATCACGATCTTGCTAATGAAAGAAGTGAAACCCGGCCAGCCCGTTCCCGAGGGAGCCTTCAGAAATAGCCATCGCACAGGCCAAAAGGAGCAGGCAGGAAAACCACAACTCCTGCCTGGAGAATTCAGTTCTCCCCCTAACCAGCTGACACTTTCCCACCCCATAGGTCACAGTGGAGGAAAGAAATGAGACAGGATTTCACTTAAACTATTTTGCATCTGCTTTAGGGTGTTATTTCTAGGGAAGAGTGTAGGAAGAAGCAAGTCGGTGATGAAGGCTGGTGACAAAACACAAGCTGAAGCAATGACAACAGAAAAGACCAGAGCTCCTGGCTTTCAAGAAACAGGAAACGCAGGCTGAAGCGATCAGCTTGCAGCTCCGAAATACACGACAGTCTCCCTGCGGATCACTATTTTCTTCCCTCATTTTAAAGCGACCTACAATTTTAGGAAGAAAAAGCAGCACCAAAATCACAAGTGCCCCAAGCTGCATCCTTCTACAAGCACCACCTCGGACGCCCAGGCAGAAGCAACCCTGGGAGGAGCAGCACGGACGCACTGCCGACGTTTTTAGCTCAGCACTCAACTCCGCTCGGAGCAGGCTTTAATGGACAGAGCAAGTCCAACAGGTGGAGACGGCTGGCAGCTCTTCCAGCCTGGGACCCCGAGGAATTGCCGATGCCAAAGGAGCTGAACTGGGGTCAACAACAGTGAAAGATTTACTGGGAATTTCCTGCGCAGGCTGCTCCTTTGGGGGTGATTTGGCAGCTGGATACCGACGAACCGTGGTCGGTGAGCCCCGTGAGAGCCAGAGCAGCCGGTAAACGTGGTCACAAGAGGTGTGAGACCAGGAATTGTGTCCAGTGGCGGGAAGGAGGAACCTGGGCAACGAAGCACAACAAAGGCCTGTTTTATTCCAAGATTACTCGGCTGGAGCTTTCAGCACGTACCAGATCTGATCCCACAGCTGCCGTTCTGCAGAGGGATGGGGTAAGCAGTTAGATTTTCTTGCAGCTGATGGGTTTACTGGGAGAGTGCGATCAGTTTGTTCACATCCACCCAGCCCCTGCACACGACACAGAACATATCACTGGTGGAGGAAGTGGCTATCCTATAGCCGGAAAAACAACCAAAACAAAGATTTCCTGGGCCCACTGTCCACAACTCCTGTTATAGGACCTACCAAATACTACAACTGATGCTGCACTAGGTCTTCACCCAGAACGGTGAGGATCAAATGACTCCCCTGTCTGCACCAAGAAATGCTTGACATTTCAAATATTTACACAGAAGGAAAATCTGATCTGAAGGAATGAAGCAGTTGGAGGTGTTTCTACCTCAAGGTCTCCAGTGTCATTTGACAATTTGCATTTTTGAACAAGGCCCCAAGTGTTCGACGAAACGTGCTCGTGCCTCATACAAAACTCCGCTCTTACTTGTAGACGTTGATGTTGTATTTCCTCTCGCTCGGAAATCCAAACATGCCACAGACAACTCGGGAATTCTTCATGGTCCAGTGCTTGTCGCAGATCTGCTTCCAGGTCCCTTCGTCTTTCACCTCCACGTAACCCTCTGTGACAGGCACCCGCTTGCGGTAGGTGGCGAGGATGGCACGGATCCGTATATCTTCCACCTGGATGTTCATGTTCTGTAAGGATAAAAGGAACACGAATGATGCTGGCTTGCAAGGAAACTGGTTGTACAGCTTCGAGGTGGGGAACAAACCCCAGTTCTGCTCAGGGTCACGGCTGAACGGGGGGAGGAAGAAAGGAAGAGCTGTTGAGGAAAAGACACAACAGGGAAGCAAACAAACCCTTCCACCTTGTGCAAATCCATCCTCCGAAAGAGGATGCTTTTTCTCATTTAAAAACCAAACCATTATTTCACAAATGGCCAGCTAACAAGTCTCCTTTGCTCCTTGATTTCATGGCAGCGCTCGTTTCAGAAGCACAGCGACCTTAATTTAGTCTCAGCTACTGTGGAATTGAACCGGGCTCAGCTTTGCTAGGGCCACCTTAATGCTGGCAGGGTGCAGGGAAGTGGGAGCCCAGGCAGAGAAGGACACTGGGGCTCTCATCAAACCACTGGGCATCCCTTCCCCACCTGGCCCGGGCAGGCGCTGTGAAAGCTGGGATGCCGACGTGCTGACACCGGCATTTCACCGCTTCCCCAAGCCGGGTTCCTCCTCCAGCTGAAGCGTTACTTGGGACGGCAAATGAGTCACGAAGGTCGAATGGATTTCACATTTGGAGCCTACGTGAGGGCGCTGCACCAGCCAGCCTTGCAGGGACCCAAGCCCAACAGCAAAGGCTGACTGGAAAATATCCGCTGTGGCAAGCAATTACAAAAGAGCTACTGAAAGTTTTATAACTTGCTTCCAGGAGACCTTTTCTTGTCAGAGATGTATGAAACCACGTGGTTCTGCTAACAGTTACATCAGAACTGAGGAATCCTCCCCTCCCCTCGCTCAAATGCAATCATTTGGAAAAGAAAAATGCCCAGAGCTTTAAAGAGACACGGGCCTCTGGCTACTGATGAGCAGCACACAGAGGGAGTGAAGTCAGGGAGATCACAGTAGGACATGCAGAGTCCTGCAAATTACACGTGGCACATCCATTCTCCAGATGCTTCACTGACACCGATGCGGCTAACAGACCCCGGGCAAATGGAAACCAACTGCAGAGAAAGAGCCTGCTGGGGCAGGCAACGGGGCAGGCACCGGGGCAGGCACCGGGGCAGGCACCGGGGCAGGCATCTCCTCATCCTCAGCTCTGCTACTGCTCTGGCTGCATCACCTTGGGCAAGTCACTTAAGGCTTCTTTTACCTCCCTTTTCTTTTCTTCTCCCCCCCCTCCCCCGCTTTTTTTTTTATTGTCTACATTTACCACCCAGTTTTACTGCAAACCAGATCATTGATTCCTGCTTTCACCTTCAGCTGTAGGAATTCAGTCCTCCAGCAACTTGGCTGGAACATCCACGAGACACCCCCAGTAACCCTGGAAATCAGGACCTCGCGATTTACCCAGTAGGGTAGCACTACTCATACAAGGTTCATAGTTTGGGCTTAGGTTTTGAAAGCTCTTGTAGCCTTCAAGAAGGAAAAATAACCACAAGGATATGCAGGTTTGTTACATCTGAGACACTTTGAGGTGCTCAGACAAAGGGTCTGATGCAAGAGCAAACTTGTACACCTCCTGGGTAGTTTGGGAAGTCCATTTGCAATACAAAGAGTTTCTCCTGAATTTGGCACATTCTCTTCAAGTATTGCATAGCTGTTGACTACGTGCTGTCAGGAAAGTATCAGAGCCTCTGTGCATTGAAGGCCTCTCCAGGCTGGTTTCCAAAGCCTGCAACTCACTTTTCCCCTGGTGCAGTTTAAGAAATGTTTCCAGCTCTTCACTTGATGGAGAAAGCATGTTTACCTGGAGCCACAGGCCAGTGCTGCCTGAGAGAGCACCTTGTTTCTCTGCTCCTCGACCTTGCCTTAGTTTCTTTACCAGGAAACAAGAGGTAATCAAAGCCTTAAATCCATTTGGAAATAGCTTTGACTGCTGAAGATCTAGAAGTGTTTTTAATAAAAGCCTATTAAAAGGATTAACCTAAAGGACAGAGAGCCAAAGCTTAAAATTGCACTGGAAAAGCACATGAAAAGATAGCAACTAAGGAGGAAATTTGCATTGACAGCTGAGAAAGTGGGTGAGACAGCCTAAGTGAGTTTTTCTGTCTGCGACTGCAGGATATATCCACCCTATATAAAGCCCTAAGTACGTTTGCTCCACGTAGTTACGTCAGTATCAGCCCCGCTGCATATTAAAGTAACCGAAAGGGAACATTTTCCCTGACTAGACCTGACATAAGCAACGTGCTAAAATCCACCCGTGGTTTTCACTTGACAGTCACTTCCATTTTGCCTGAATTCAGACAGGCTGGAGGCTGCAGCTGATCCTCAGCGCGACGGAGATTGAGGAGCGGCAGTCAGGAACAAAGTGTGATTTCACATTCAGGAACGGTGCTCAAGGTGCCCGTGCTTTGCGAGGAAGCCGCATGACAGCAGTTGCTGGCCCCATCTGAGTCACGCAGAGCGCCGTTCCAGCTGTTAAACATCTGCCTGATGCTTCCACCACAAGCGGCAGACTCGTTATTCCCACGTTGCACCTATTAGGCCTCGTTGATACATCACTGTTCTCCTGCTGCACCGTCAGAGGGCTTCACGGCGATGGAAGGTGGTGACCAATTTTGAAAAGCCTCCAAGGTAAACAGAGCGCTGAAAGGCTGGGAGAAAGCACTGATCCTTTTGCAGATGGAGAAATAAGGTGCAGAGAAAGCAAACTGCTTCTGCAAAGACCACAGGGGCAGGAAAGCACAGGCAGTGTCCTGAGGCCCCAACTCATGAGGATCCCTCCTGCAGCAGGGAACATCACTGAAACCTCTAGCTCTAGAGCACTCCCATTCTTACCAAGCACATTTGGGTTTTCTTCCCCTTCCCACTCCACCAACCTAGCAGGAGCTGTGCTGCACAAAAAACAAAGACATCCAGCCTGTCTCTGACAGCTGCCAATAACAGATGCTGAGGAAAGAGCATCTGAACAGGGCAGCATGCAGCAATTCTTCCCTGCTGTATCCCTGCAGCTTCCAAGCATCTGTATCTCACAGACTTTCCAAGCCAGAGGGTATATTTTAATGCTCAAAAACCCTGGAAGGATTTGTGAATCCCTTGATGGGATTTATGATATCAAAGCAACAGGCAAAGAAAGAAACCAGCCCACTGAGGCAGGAAAGGCAAGAGAGAAGTTGCAAAAAAATAAAAACTCTTGGAAAAAGGAAAGCTTGGGAGTGCTGTCAGGGACCTGATGATTTGTCTGTTATTTTTGCAATTAGTTCAGCAGCTTGGCAAACAAAAACGGGTTGCTATGGCTGTTTCCAGAAGAGCTCTGACCACTGCAGGAGTGGCAATGCTGGAGTCCCAGTAATCCTGGGGTGTCCCAACCTGGTGTGGTACCCATGACCCAGTCTAGGGCTCAAGGTGCCCGCCTTTCTTACTTCAGGCTGTGTGTTTGGGCACGTATTTTCCTCTGTCTGGACAGGGTTGTCCTTACTGGTCATTTTACAGAAGAGAAAAATAAGGTACAAATTGAACAGCTTGTGTTTGGACTCAAAAAAACATAGTCAGAGCCAGCATGCCACCTCAGGCACTGCAGGCGCTGGTACAAAGGTCCCGCAACACATGTCTCTTCCCCCAGAGATGCTGACACAGACACAAAAAGAAATCCTGCTCTGAGCTGGGACTCCAGTTTAGTGAATCCAACTCCTTTGTCATGGTTTTTTGTCTCTATTTGCCAAAGGAGAAAAAAAAAAAAAAAGTGAGCAAACTAGCAAGAAATAAGCTATCATTTCATTCCCTCGAGGGTATTTCAATCTTCAGATAGCTATAGCAGACCGGCACGCAATGACAGTTTCATGATCTGTCTGAGAGCAAAACCAACCCACATCCATTCCCCTTTCCGCTCACAGAGAGTAGGTTTAGAGCAGAGAATTATTGATATAGCAACTGAAGGGTTTGCTCCCAGTCTGAACAAACAGCAAAACGTGTGAGAAGAATGCAAGATGCTGTCGACCTCAGCTTTATATTGGGAAGATTAAAGAACAAAGGATCAAGACAAGTATCCTGGAGGTTTCTCAAGGAGGAAGGACCACTAAGAGCTTTCTCCCAATAATTCGTTGCAGATTTGAATGGTTTCCTTTCACTGCAGAGTTTTTGTTACGCTGGGAGTATTCAATAATGCAAATACAGGCAAACATATTTTATCTTCCAACACCAACGTGTAGAGCAGCTGGGCTAATGGTGAAAACAGACTCCACATAAAAATCAGAAGCAAACAACACTTAATAGCTAGAGCAGACTTTTTAAAATCACCCTCTCCATGCTTTATGTACACGTGGAGACAAATGCCTGCAATAAGCTGTCATATCAACAAGAAAACCGCAGCTCTGAAAGCTTTGCTTATGCTCACATTATAGCCACGCACTGAAGCTACAAGGTCGACTGGTAAATCCTCTGAAGGGTCTCTCAGGATCACAAAGCAGGTATCTGCAACCAACTCAGAAGCTGAATGCACGTCTGCCCAGCTCCCACCTCAGGTATCAACCATAAAGCAGAGCCTTCAACGATATTTCAGGAGCCAAGCAGTCACTCACCAAAGAGCAATACTACTGTCAGGAAATAAATCTGGGTTGACTGCATGCCAAATTAAAGAGAGGCCCAAACCCCAAAGCCAATGAGATATGGTTTGCTCAGTCTGAGGCTGAGGAACACAAAGCAAGGAGGGAGAAAACCATGCACAAACCCACAGCTCAGCTCCCTTGATACAAGGGAAAAGTGCTGCTGGGGATTTCTAGCCACAAAGGAAGAGAAGAGACTGAACTCAGGAAGAGTTAACTCTCATGGCTCAGGCATCATAGCCCTCCCCTTCTCAGCTGGCCTTGCGAAATTTCCACCCATTTAGGCCAACAGCTGTGGAGATGTGTGTGCCAGCCCTTTTCCTTCCCCCCACCTAAACTCCAAGTCGTAGAATTCAGCTACTAGCACAATTCAGACCCGGATCTCCAACCTCTGCTTTGCTTATGAAACAATCCCACCCACATACTTGA